TATATATATATCCCATCATAACAATAATACATTAAGCAAGCACACAAATAAAACAATAAATAATAATCCTACTAAAAGTCAATGCAACTGGCGTAAAAACCTAACCTGCCCACTAAATGGCCAGTGCATGACTGAAAGCAAAATCTACAGAGCTAGGATCAATTCAGATGATGATGTTAAATATTTCTTTGGATCGACTGAGAACAGCTGGAAATTGCGTTTTTACCACTACAAAATAACAATGAACAATATTAAATACAAAAGCTACACAACACTTTCAAAGTATGTTTGGCGATTAAAAACACCTATAAGAACCCAACAATTAGCTGCGAAATAATCGCGAACGCTAAACCATACAATGGTAAGGGAGACAGATGTAATTTGCGTGTTGTTGGAGAAGCTTATTATATTAAAATACTTAAATAACCCACGCTTTCTGAACACGAGAAGCGAATTGATTTCTGCATGTATTCATAAAACCAAATATCTGTTCAATCACATTGAACCTGATTGATTTCAAAATAGATTTTGCGAATATTAATATAATATATCGTACCTACTACTATTCATAGAAACCACAATTAATAACTTATTTTAAATGTTATAGAAACAGTATTTAATGCAAAAAAGAGTTATCCGCCTTGATACATAACGTGTTTACATAATTTCAATTCTTTTTATTTAAAATAATTTTTAATTTTAATTTTTTTAAATCTTCGTCTTTCGAACTGAAGAAATGGAATGATATGAATTATAAATAATTAATTATAATATTATAGGCAACAATAATAAAATAAACAAAGCTTAACACACAATTTTAAATCATCACGACGAGAATGGGAATTTGATAACGCTCTATTTGCATCTGAAGATTGCACGTTTGCATGAAACTCCGAGTCATACTATCGACGTTATATATATATATATATATATATATATATATATATATATATATATATATGATTAATATAAATATAAAATTTGTCACTTAGCTGATTGATTTTATATTCATCCCCGCACCCGACTCCAGAGTTTTGTAGTCGAACCTTTTTTGTAATCGTTTGATCCACTTGTCAGGAAGTTTCCGCGATTGACTGCCGAATCTCTCATTTTTGCTATATAATAATAAAGCTTTTATATATATATATATATATATATATATATATATATATATATATATATATATATATATAAAACTATTTCCCATGATTTCTCTCGGACGCTCATATTTGCGTATCTTAACGTAAACAAATGACATCATATATTATGAAATGGACTAATCGATAAAAATAATGTATAAACAGAAAATATATTAAAACAATTGTCGGACTTAGTCTATTTCATAATATATGATGTCATTTATTTACGTTAAGATACGCTTCAAGCAAATATGAGAATTCGAGGGAAATCATGGAAAATTTGTAGTATAAAAACAGTAATTTACATTATTGTTAAACAGACGCATTCTTTGTAGGTAAATGGTATATCACGTCAGGCTATATGACGATTCCACGTAGGATACAGGTTCGATTCCTGTCAGGAGAATATATATATATATATATATATATATATGCAATTTTTAGATATATTATTTATATATTATATATGCGCGGTACTTATTGGAAAGCACTCAGTATCAGTGAAAGAGCTAACATCTGACGATCGCAGAGGGCGTGAAACCCAGAACACCAACTCACATCAATCCAATTATCTATATATATATATATATATATATATATATATATATGAAGAAATATAGGCCTTAAGGTGTGCTATATTTATGGGATAAAGTGCTCAATATCAGAGATAGAGCGTGTAAATATAGAAGTCAACACTTAGAAGCGACAGACTGTTTCATGCTAGACGCAATCGTTGCTTTGACTTCTATGTTCACTTTTTATTTATATATATATATATATATATATATATATATATATATATATATTTATATATTTATTTATATATATATATATATATATATATACTGCTCTCATTTTTTCTTTTTTATTATTGTTTATTGGAAACTACCAATCCTGTTTGTTGGGCATTTCTGTCAATTACATTTATCTATGACCAATTACTCTACTGTGATGTAAAAATTATTTGGCGACAGATAATAATTGTCAATAATTATATTATTTAAATGTAAAATGTTTCAAAATTTTGGTAGAATTTCTCTTATTTCTGGTCTGAATGGTTAATATCTGAGCAATTCCTCCTCCAAAACGAAGCTTTAGTTAAAATGCTTTTGTGTGCCAATTACAAGAGTCAATAAAGATTATTTCTTTCAGTTTTATATCTTAGCACGTTGTTTATTTGGTAGAATACATGAATTATTTTAACTATAATTTTTTACGGCACAATATTTTTCCACGTTTATTATACCTACATAAAAACTCCCAGAATAATGTTTTTGAACCAGCATGCTTATTTTATAAGTTACAAAATCCCACCCCTATGACTATTCCAGACGGCATTTGTATTTGGTTCAAAAGATTACCATGGACAGAACATGTGACAAATTGTTTTTTCTTTTATCAGTGAATGTTGAGAACACTTTTGTGTACCAATACAAATATGCTGGACTAAATTATTTTCTTCATTATCTCCACCATCTTGCACGATGTTTATTTGATCTGACACACTTTTATTTTTCGAATAATTTTCTCCGCGACTCGAGTATTTTATTCTACATTTATTAAACCTATATAAAAATAAGTTCCAGTGAAATGTTTATTTGAACTGATGCGTTTATTTTATAAGTTTAAAATTTCCTACTAGAATGACTACACCAGACGACACTTGTATTTGGTATGTAAAGATAGAAAAAAGAATATCCACACACACAAAAATCATTACAACGCACACTGTTGTATATGTGTGTGCAAATACGTATACATACAAAGTAAACATATACATATATTACAGTTACCCCCATTAACCATTAGATTCACATGAATTATGAAATACGCATACGAAGTGAAGTAGTTATATCAGTGATGTACACATTCAAACATGCATACATACACGTAGATATACGCAAGAATATGCAGCCACACACACATACTCTAAACGTTTACATATACATGAATGTATAAACAGTCACATATATATGCACAGTCGCAGATCCAAGTGCAAACATACAAATAGACAAAAGGAAAGATTCGACTAAACACACTTTTAGTTTTAATATACAAAAAAAAAAAAAATTAACGATACAAAAAATGTATTAAAAGTAAAACAAATGAGGAAAATAAAATAAAATAAAATATAATAATGAAATCATATATAAATAAATGAAATTCAGAAATGCTTAAAAACATTCTCGGTGAATATTTTTAACAAAAGCAATAATTCTAGTAATACTTGCATCAATCAGACAGGATTATTATTTTGAATGTTTTTTCGTGTTTTTGAAAATATTTGTAGTTTGGGATTTTCTGTTTCTCTTGGAATAAATTACTTGCATTCTATTCTTCATTTCCTACTCCCAAAACTTCTTTTAAAAAAAAAAATATTTTCGTTCTTTTATATTTCTTTAAATTTTTCTATTTTACTTTAACTTTTAAAAAAATTAACTCGAATCCCTACCCTCCCACAAGCTGTCTATCGTTTTCACTTTCTCTGATGGTTTTATCATCCCTTCTCCTTCAATTTTTAACATCCTTCCTCCTTCATTTTTTTTTTCTTTTTAAACAAATCTTTTTCTTTTCATTTTAATTTTCTTTCCATTTTCATTTTAACTTAAAAACTTCCTCTTTCCTTCTTCTCTTGTTTCATTTTGACTCATCTCCGATGATTTTTAACATCTTCCCGGCATGCCCTTTGCTCCTTCCGAACGATTGATTTAAATCAAGTCTTTCATCAGATCTAAAAGACAAAATATAAAAAAACAACCTCATACATCCGTTACATCTCCCCCGACCATCATTCCCTGATCCAAGTTATCTACTTATTTTCTTTTGGATGGAAAGGCCATTTTCATCATGAATTCTTTTGACATAAATTTATCCTCCATTTTTTTTAACGTTCTCATGAAACCGAACATAACGCCAGAACGAAATCCAACTATTGTCTATTGAAAGCTTCCGTAACATTCATATTTAAGTTATATTCAAAATTATTTTTTTATATTTTTCCTTTAGAATCTTAATTTATGATAAAATTTTTCCTCTTTCTCAGTCTTTTCCTTTTTTAGTTATTTATTTGTTTTTGATATGTGTGCATTAAGAAGCACGAATGCATACATATATATATATATATATATATATATATATATATATGTGTGTGTATGTATGTATGTATGTATGTGCGTGTGTGTGTGTGTGTGTGTGTGTGTGTTCACAACCTTTACGCGTGTTAGGTCATATAATAATATGCTGTTTATGTTTCTCTATTTATAACTATATGAGGACGGACTATATAAAGGTTTTATATGTACCTACGTGTAGATGAAAATTTCCTTGTTTTCAGCTAAAACTAAAGCTGAAAAATTCTCAACTCGACCAACAAAATAAAAAAAAATTGAATATTTGGCTAAAATGTTGGAAGTTAATTCGGTCGATGACTATTCTGTCCTCAATTCACTTCATATATCGATACATCAATAACGACATCAGTAATGTTGTTATTAAATAAGCATTTATTTTGTATAATAAATAAAAAAAATATAAATTTATTTATTGGCATAAGCACTTTCTTTGTCTAACCACTTAATTCAGAGGTGAAATTAATCATATTGATGAAGTATTATGCAATGAAAATTTCAGATCAAAATTCAGTTATGTGCTAGAAAGATTTCAATTACTGGCCGTCGTATTTCTCAGTATGTCCGATTCTGATTCTTTATATAACTGATATATATATATATATATATATATATATATATATATATATATATATATATATATATATATATAAATATATAAAAGGCTCAAGCACTAATATTCCATGGTTATAATTTATTACATTGGAATCGTAATCACGATCCAATTCATCAGACCTACAAATATTAATATTATCTATCTATCTATCTATCTATCTATCTATCTATCTATCTATCTCACACTCTCTCTTTCTCTCTCTCTCTTTATATATATATAAAAATCAAAATCATGCATACATACACACATAATATTAATATTATCTATATACATACATACACATATAATATTAATATTATATATATATATATATATATATATATATATATATATATATAATGAATCAAAATCTATATATATATAAAGAATCAAAATCACACATACATACACACATACATACATATACACGTACACACACATACACGCATACGCACAGACACACATACATATATGATAAGAATATTGTTTTAAGGTATGTTATATTTATGGGTAAAAGTATTCAATATCAGATAATATTACCGTTAGGATAATACAATAACCAGGAAATATCTGACCATGCCACCTATAATGCCTCATTTACCAATATATATAAATAGTCGAGCAACCACACAACATGGCCTGAAGATTACATACAGGCATGAAACAGACTGTCGCCATGTTGCTCTTCATTAATGAATCGAACACTATTGGCTATTAGCGTTTGTTTACAGTCGTAAAACAATAAGTTAGAATTTCCCTTTCTCTCTGCTGTGCGCCGACTGATGCCAGATCGGTAGGGCTTTGATCCCGGCTTGAAGCAACCGGACGTCTATCCACACTGATGAGCTGTCATACAGCCAAACAGGCATGTGTATGAATGGCCATACTATATATATATATATATATATATATATATATATATATATATATATATATATATATATATGTATGTATGTATGTATGTATATAGTTGCATTGATGTGAGTTTGTGATCCTGTGTTTATGCCCTTTGTGATCGTCAGACAAACTGATTAATTTTGGATTTAATTATGGTTGCAGTGTCACAAACTCACTTCAATGCAATTATGTTAGCGCTATCGCTGATATTGAGCGCTTTCAATAATTACCGAGCATATATAATATTATAAATAATATATATAAGCATATATATATATATATATATATATATATATATATATATATATATATATATATATATATATATATATATATATATTTATATATATATATATATATATATATATATATATATATATATATATATATATATATATATATATATATATATATATATATATATATGTTTTGAACAATAAGAAAATAAAAAATAAAAAAATTAAAATCATTAGACACACTGGGTTGTAGATTAATATTCTTTCGTTTTTTTATTATTATTATTCCATTTAGATTCCTCGACTAGTTTCGACCGAAATGGCCGTCATCGGGAGGAGAAATATTTCTGCTTGCTGTTAGCAGTGAACTACAGAAAAAAAAAATATATATATATATATATATATATATATATATATATATATAATGTAGGTTTACCTCTAAAGATGAGCTAAATAATAACCATATATAATGAAAAAATGCCCCAAAGCAAAGTTTTATCTTCAAAATCTTTGTTATTAAGAGGAAAGATCCGAGGACTTTTACGTTAAAATTATTTGTTTTAATCCTTTTTAGAACCTTCAAAATGCTGGTTAAATATCCTATTTTTCTGGAATCACAAATTTGTTCGCACAATTTTGAGTGTGTTTTAGCAGTGAAAAACACATTTGATTTGGAAATTATTGAAAAAATCATATAATTGTCTGATTTTAAGGAAACGTTCAGGACTTTCCAAAAATGAATTAAATCATTTTTAAAACGTTTCTCTTTTAGAAAATCTTGGTAGAAATATTTAATTTTATTAAATTTCGACATTCTTTTTTGTGGGTTTATTAGTTATAAGGACAAGTCATTGGAGAATTTAAATCAGTAAATTTATTTGGCCAAATAATTGTAGAAAATCTGCTCTGAATCGTAAAGTAAAAAATGAAATAAAACTAAGATATTATTTAATTAGAGAAGCTTTTAATTGTTTTTATGGTTAAAATATATTATGCACACTATTGTTTTATGAAAAATATCGATGAATAATGAATTTTTACAAGAATTGTTTGCATTTTGTTAAAATTTTAATTAGAACAGTTTATAAACATTAAAATGTTTTAAAATTCTGTATTGATTTGTTACGGTTAGGTGATATTGTTATTAAGTAAAAACGATATTTATTAATCATAAATCAAAAGCTTACGCCAATTCACCGAACCCCAGTATCTTAATTTATTGATAATTTTCTAATATTTCTTTAGCGTTTTTGTAAGTAAGACTATGAAACCGAAGTACATAAAATTTAATAAAGTATTTTAAAATGTTTAATATTAATGCGTAGTTGAAAAAAAAATTATACGTTGTATTCGTCATGAAATTTTGTTACAATTATCTACTTGTTACATAAATTACCCAAACATCATAATGTCGATAAATGTGTCAAAACCTTCTAAAACAGTGGTTATCAACCTTTTTTTACCCATGGACCCCTTTCCCCTTCTTTTTATCTTGGTGGACCCCTTCATAGCTATTGGACATAAGAACAATTTTCTATTCTTCACTAATATAAATTTTAAGGTTTTAATTATCAAAGAAATAGTATACTATTAAGCTTTATTTTTAAATGAAAACTAATTTAATACAAATAAAATATTCTACTATAATTATAATAATAATTATTATTACTATTTTTAATTAACACAACAATTGTGTTTTGCCTGTGGACCCCCGGAAATATTACATGGACCCCTAGGGTCCATGTAGACCCCGGTTGAGAACCACTGTTCTAAAACAACCACCTCCGTGTTAAAAAAAAAATGCTTTCCAGCGACATGTTAGACTAAAAGGAAGTAATATGTTTCAACTCAAATAGCATTTCATAAAAATAAATCTTATTTTTTAAAGATTATTTTTAATAAATAGAATTACTTTGTGTTGGCAAATTTGTCAATATGGACGATTTTAGCGGTTTTATTAATCAGAAAAAAATCATTCCAATCCATTAAAATTCGGTTTAAAATACATCAAAAGTATTTTTCTCATTGGAAATATTCAATTTAATTTTACCTTGTAAAAGGCATTTTAAATCTTAGGTATGGCTTTTTCTGTGAAGGTATATATATATATATATATATATATATATATATATATATATATATATATACAAGTGACCAAATGTTACATTTAATTACAGATTCAATCAACAATGTATTTTCCCTGATTATCTATGACTTCCTTCAATCTATTAACAAGCTTACTAATTCCATGACTGTAAAATTCTTTTGGCTTTGATTCGAAGAACTCACAAATATCAGTTTTAACCTCTTCCTGTGTTACAAAAGCTGTTTCTTCCAAATGATTCTGTAAGCTACGAAACAAATGGTAGTCTGAAGGAGCAAAATCGGGAGAATAAGGTGGATGAGGAATTTTCTCCCAACCAAGTTCTTTTGTGACGTGATTCTTGCTGTGTGGTCCCGCATTATCCTGATGAAACATCACCCCTTTTCGATTCACTAGAGCAGGTCTTTTTTACCTCAAAGCTTGGTTCAAACGCTCTAATTGCTGACAGTATACTTGAGCATTAATTGTTGCATTAGGTGGTAAGAATTCAAAGTGGATTATTCCTTGGCGATCCCACCAGATTGAAAGAAGAACCTTTTGCCCATGAAGTTCCCTTCTCGGCTGTGGCTGGGGTCCTTCCCCTTTACCAAGCCACTGTCTACGACGCCGCTTAACATTTCGATAAAATATCCCTTTTTCTTCACTAGTCACAAGTCTATCCAAAAAAGCTGAAACAAGTTGGCAAAAATGGAGAGAAGAGGGATTTGAGGTTGTTTTCAGGCAATTCATGAGGCACCCATTTTCCAAGTTTAGGAACTTTTCCAAGTTGTTGAAGATGACAATGAACAGTTGTATGGTTTGAACTGAGAACCACTGCCAATTCCTCAACTGATAAAGCAGGATTTTCTTCAAGGGCTGCTTCAAGAAGCTTTTCATCAAACTCACCTGGATGTCCGGTTCGATCTTCATCTTCAAGGGTGAAATCTCCACCTCTGAATTTTGCAAACCATCTTCTGCAAGTTCTTTCATTCACACATTCCTCTCCATCAACTGAGTGAATGTTTCTAGCCGCTTCGGCTGCTGAGTTTCCTTTCTTGAACTCAAAGCATTATGTACCTCAAATGATTCTTGGATACTTCCATGTTAGCAGGGTTTTAATCAAACAAAATTTAATTTTATTGTTCTCTGAAATAAAATTTGATCAGTTTAAATGCATCTAAACATAAAAATAATGTTCAGCTCCATTAGACTTTTTAAAATACTCTTTAAATTTCGTTCATTTTTGAAAAAAGGTAAAATTCGAACAGAACTTATGGGATGATATATAGTTGCAGATGAATATTGTCACATTTGCAAAAAATAAAAGAACGTATTTTGTATCTATCTACATATCATGCTAGATAAAATGTTCATATGAAATATACATACATACAAACACATACATACAACATGTGTGTGTGTGTGTACAATATATTTTTGAAGTTTGGAAAACTGAAGCAGTAATGTACTGAGGGAAACTTTAAAAACTAGTGGTATAATCATAAGTCATTTTTAAGCTAGAAAGCCTTAGATATTCTACTAAACTAGTCAACCATGTGGGGAAATTAAAGGAAAAAAATAAAAAAGTTCTGATTGTAAACTGGAAAATTTAAAAAAAAGCAAAACCTTACAACACTCACACTAACATCTGCAACCTTTATCAACAAGAAAAATTATCTATAATAACATTTCTAGACCAAAAAAAAATAAAAATAAAATAAAATAAAATAACCCTTTAAATCAGAGGTCGGAAATTATTACCCATATTAGTATATGCATACTAAAAAGTTCCTTTTGAGTTCATATGAAATGGGATGAAAAGAAAGTATATATATTTCATCTAATCCCCAGCGATACATTTTTATTACACTTGATTTCTCCCTCCTTCTCTTCCTCACATTATAGTACTACACCCCACGTCGTGCGTTTATTCATTCATTTACTTATTTATTTTTTTAAATATAACGTTCATTTATTTAAATAAATAAATGCATTAGGAAATCAATTGACTGAAATCGCCAGAAG